GTTTGACCGTTTTTCCAGAGTGATTTAACAACACCATATCTTGATTCCATCCATGGTTCTACTTCGTTTTGCTTTATGATCTCTAATAAAGTTTCATTAGCCAATTTAAAAATAGCTTCAGAAATCAGTTTTATTTTTTCTAATTGTTTCGGAGATAGTACAAAATATGTATCTCGGCTTGTTATTTTTTTTACTAAACTCGAATAGTCATCATCTGTCATTTTTTGCTCAATTTTTACCCTATTTGTGGTTGAGGATGTAAGCTCACTCATTTTTTTCTATTAATTTGAAAGGCTTACGTATTTGAATTTGAGAAAAATAAGTTTTTGTGCAAAAAAAAATTAATTATATTATATTTCTCAAATACTTTCACAAATAACTTTTTTACGTATTATTGATTAAATTTAATGTTAACTACTCAATGTGAAAGATTCTGGTCGTCCAACTTTTTTTATTATTTAAATGTTTTTTTATTAAGTAAAGTTCGAAAATTATAATTACTCCTTATACGTATAAGCAAAATATAAATAAGTATCTGTGTTACTAAAAAAAATATATATATATACTTTAATAAAGCTGATACCGAGTTTTTTATTTTTTTTTATACGCACTTACGTACGTACTGGCATGCATGTACGTACCATCTTTACGCCCATCAGTGTTATTTCGAAAATTGTACTACAATCTAGCCTTTAATGCAACTTTTCTAAATGCACCCTATGAAACTCCCTAACTGCTAGGAGTGCATAAGGTAGCTGCGCGATGGTGTCGTGTTAAAACAGGAATGTAGATAACGATTTTACATTTGTATAAGCTATAAAGCTTTTATTGGATATAAATCCAAGAAAAATAAATAAATAAATTAAAATAATTATGGAAAAGCTTTGCATTAAAATTTTTCCAATTTAAATTGGTTTATGAACAAGGTAAAGCAAGTTTAGGAATTATAGATCATTAAAAATATTTAGTTATTTACATTCCTAATAAATCAACGCAAATAATCTGAATGAAAGTTAAAATAAGCAATAAATGTCTGAGCGTTTAAGTAGTTTTATTTAAACATTTACATTAAAAATGTTCTTAATCTGTTAGACACCGTTTGTATTGTAAGCCACATAGTTTTAGTCAGCCTGAGCCAGCAAACTAAAATTTAGCTAATCGGTTGGCTAACGGTCTGCTTTACGGAATCTTTTTGGACATCTTACAAAATTCTAATTCGGTCTTGCTCGTATTTTATGATTTTTCGAGTCCATTTCTAGTGTGACGACGGATATTGTGCTACCGGATATCATGTCCGATCACGTGAAAAATGCACGAAATGCAATAAGTGCAATAA